GCCTATGTGCTTGCCTCTACATCCTATGGAAACCATTCCTGCTCCAAGGCCTTGCCAAATTCAGGCAGTAGTAAAGCCCCCCTGTAGTCTTTCTGGAGTATAACAACTGCTAAGGTTCATGTGGAGATACACGACCCCATGGAGAGAGGAAGAAATCCATGGAGAGTGTTAAAGGAAGGAAAAAGTAGGAAAACTCTGTTTTCCCTCCTCTTAGCAGAACAGTCGGTATATATTCCAAGGAGGCATTCCAGCCCCTGCCCTGCCCCACACCAGTGCCTGGGATCCTCCCCGACAGCTCTACTCTTTCCAGCCCACAGACCCAAGAAGGCTGGCAGGCTCCATGCTGAAACAACCGCTCTTCGTCCTTGCTAACTCGGTGCCTGTTGACACAAGTGCTGGGGAGCTATCGCCACTGCAAACAGAAATATTTGCGGTTCATCTGAGGATTTCCCAGGTATTTCCTAGCACACTCGTTTTCCTTTGCCGGGCTGTTGCTCTGACGCCAACAGCAGCACTCCCAGGGCAGGAATATGGGGAATCTTATTTGTCTGCTGCTGGTGTGAGTATGCAGTCCTCATTCATTCTGTATTCAATTCAGTACTAATTCAGGGTAAGATGTTATCAATTACTGTCAAGATAGTTATTTTTATTATAGGAAACACTGAGCCTCTATATGTGATCTCTATACTCTAGAAAGTCCAAAAATGAATGCGTTAATTTTTCTCTAATTCAGAAAACAAACCCAATCTCAATGTTGACTTTTATTTGCTTTTTAAAATGGTAATGATTTTCTATACTGAACTACTGTCTGAATACTTTGATGTGAACTTGGTTTAAAAATCAAGCTAACAACAACAAAACCCAACCAACCAGTAAGGGCAAGCTGTACTCTCAAGATCTTATCGGTTACTTCCAGCAAACTCCCCTCATTGCCTAGTTCGCTCTGCTATTTTAAGTTAATTTGCAAAGCTTCGATAAAGAACAAAGGTTAAATACTTGGGATTTGCGCAGGTTCTGCGGTGCTGCCAAAAGGTGAATAAACATTACAAATAAATGCTAGTTTCTCCAAGAAGGACAAAGGCAGATGGTGGAGGCACGGCATGCAGCTGCCCTGAAAACTGTGGTAAGAAAAAAATTCCTCTGGAGCTGGTAGCAAAGCAGAAGCTGGAAATGCAGAGCACTGCAGAGGTACTGCTTTCAGGAGTGTGTGATCAGGGGGCTCCGAGTAGCTATGGAGCCCAGAACTGTTTTGCAAACAGTTCCTATTAAAACACAAAACTGTAACACATGAACACACTCTGGGAATAATGGAGTACATTTTTGCAATCTGAGCTGAGACATGAGTTTTAGTAGCTAGGGATATTGCTAATTACAAGTGGTGAAAATACATGTGAAGCCAGCCATTAGATCCATGTGGTGGCATAGCACATTATGGTGGTGGACGTTTGTAGTTATAAGACCTTAACCCTGCATGAGCTTTTAGCAAAGGAGAGTCATTTTATGACTGCTAAGTTGTGCTATGTGAAATTATTTCTGTCAATGGGGCTAGGGTTGCTCTGTTTGTGTATGTTTGCTTTGGTTTCTGCTTAGTAATTTTACCAAGGTCTGTTAACTTCCTTCGGGCTGCTCACTGTAGTAGCAGCTGCCATTCAAAGCCACCTGAGCACAGCACACCATAAATCTCCTAGCAAGTAAGAAGCAGGGAAGCTGAGGGTGCAGAACGAAGGTCATGGTCCCTAGGTCATGCAGTATGAAAACCACTGCAGAGAAAACCAAAAGCTTTCAACTCTTGGTCAACTCTTCTGGCAAGTGGCTGGGTGGCATTGTCAGCACAAGATGCCATGGCAACCCTTTCTTCCTCCTGCCTTCTTCAGACACGTACAACTATTTTGTGAGCAGTTCTGGTATTCATTCACTCTAAAAATCAGTGATGATAATCAGTGCATGGTTAGTGCCTGGTCTTGGCAGCGTTTTGAGTGAAATTAAAATACAGGATGCAATTTGGGAGTTTCTCCTGAATCCTTTGAATATGCCTCCTAGAAAATAGTCTTCCTACCAACAGTTCTGCATTTTGCTCTCTTCCCCACATGTATTACTGTGAGAATGTACAGAGAAGTTATTAACTATTTTCAGTTTTAGTGCTCTATGGACTCGTAGTTCATTTCTGGTGGTATTTCAGAATCAGACTTCAACATTCACAGGCCAGTTCTGGGAGAAGTCAAGTGTACTCAGCCCATAGGAAACGTGCAAAGCTGTGCACATGACTAAGGCTGAAGGATACCCAGCCTTAACAAACAACTAGCTGAACAGCAAATACCCCACTATCATCCCATAAAGTAAACCAAAACAGGCAAGAAAAGAAATGGTAACTGCTCCTCCAGCTATTCTAACAAAATTATTAGGAAGCTGGTCAGTTCTAAAAATGGTACCTAACTGTTGAAACTAAGCACTAACGTTTTAATTTATTCTTACAGGTTTTTTTTTTCCTCCTAGCTTATACATTTCATGAATAAATACCTCTCCTAGTATTTACTCAGAATGTATTCGTCATAATTCTCTGTACCATTATCGCTAGCCTTCAGACACATTTTTCTTAGAGAGGAAGATTTCATCACGGTAGCAGCAACCAGCTTTGCCTTATTCTTACTGTTTTCCTTCTTTCATGTTATTCACGTATACAAGGTCCAAAATACTTGCAAAATGATCTCATACTTTTTGTTGCTGTTTCATTTTGATCCTGTTTTCCTCTCTGAAAGGATGTGTGTCACTTGCATTTTGAAACGGACTCTGGTAAATACAGCCATTTCTTGAAAAGATCACTGCTTTCATGTGAGCACCACTTTTCCATAAATATCCAAGTGGGATGAAAACCATGAAGAGTTCTCATGTGAACTACCCACGGGCTCAGCCTTAGCCCCATTACAGCACGGTGCCATTTCTGGATTCTTCCTCGCAGCCCACAACCTATCTTTCCAGCTGTGTGCAACACTGAGTTCCAAAGAGGGATCACTGTGTTATAAGACTTTTTAATTCCCCAACTTAGTTCAGCTGTTATCAGCAGCTGGTTACTTCAGCTAGCTGATATGCCTCAGTGCCTTGTAAACATTCTCTCTAGTATTGCACATTACTCATAGATTGAAAATCACTTTGACTCCTCTAACATAATTATGTTAATGTCAGATGAGTCACAGAGAAACAGAAAAGCCTGCATCAGAGCTGCACCTTAGTGCCAGTTTCTGAAGGTCCTGTTAGCACAGGAGAAGTAGGTTAGGGGGTTCACCGGGAAAAACAACTTTCGTTTAATGACTGACGGTAGATGACGAAAATGACTCACGAGGAGGCTGGTGTGACAACCAAATTTGGATTCAGGGAAACAAAATCGGTGAGAGAATAGGCTGTCTGATTATTTACAAGAGCAAGAATGAAAAGTACAGCATTTTTAAAGAATGGCTTTTTTAGGAAAACTTCACTGATACCTTCTGAGCATAAACAGCTTTCAACATTCATGATTTAGTACCAACGGCAGTAGTTTATTTAAATTTACATCTTAATTAGATTACACTTCACAGTCACCCATCTCTAATGCTCTATTAGTTCTACCTCTTTCCTTAGTTAATGCAAGTGATTCTTTTGGATCACAGTGTGGAAAGGCAGAAGCTCTTCATCAAGCCCAAAGGGGTGGCAATGCACTTTGTCTCACTTCATGCAGCTGAAGGGACATTCAGGGTAGGGCTGTTCCAGAGGCAGGGATGGGGACACAGACCTGCAGCAGGGGCTAACATTGTAACCTCTGGCACTTTTTACCTGCCATACAGAAGCTGGTTACTCTGGTATTTCCCTAACAGGTCAGTACGTGCTTATCGATATTCATCAGGCTGGCATGTGTGAGTAAGATATATCACCTCAGTGTGAGAGAAAGGCTCTTTTATTATTTGTTTTGGTTTTTTTTTCATTGAGCAGATACGTTATTCCCGGAACAGTTCAGTCCTCAACAGACCCACGGTGCCCCTTACAAAAAGCAGACTCCCAGCTAAACTAACGGCAAAAGCGCGCTAAGGTAAAGCAGGGGAAGCCTCAGACAGGCAGCGCACCCGCAGCACTCATTCCGCCACAGCCACCTCCACGTCCGCATCCCTGTCAGAAGTTCAAAGCGCACTTACGTTTCCCCGAGCGCTACATCCCTCAGCACCGCCTGGCGGCTCGCTCCCTCGGACCCGCTCCCACCAGCCCCGAACCCGCTTATTAAGAGCCATCGCGCGTGCCCCGCGCCGTTACTAAATCGGGCGGGAGGAAGGTCACGCCGCAGGTGACTAACGGCGCCCTGGATGCCGGCTGACCTCAGTGCGGGGCCGCGGCATCCCCTCGCCCCACCGGGGGGGCTTGCGGCGCTCCGCTCCCGCCCCCTGCCGGGCGAGTGCCGGGTGAGTCCCGACGGCTTCCCCGCCGCGGCCGCGAGGGGACCGCTAAACGGCCGGCAGCCGCCCGCGCCGCCGCGCCGCCGCACCCCGGGCCGGGCTCCCCCGGCGCCGCTCCCGGCCCCCAGCTGCGCCCGTCCGTCAGGGCCGCCCCCCGCACGCGGGGCGGGGCCGGGGGGCGCCGGCCCTTTAAGGCAGCGAAGCCCCGCGAGCATTCCGACCGCATCTCCCCCCAACGGCGCGGCCGTGTCATCGTTCCGGGAAGCAGATGGCGTCATCCCGTCCTCCCGCTGCGGAGGGGCGGGGACTTGAAACAAAGGAATAAAAATAGAAGGTGAGGCCCGGGGCACGGTGGCAGCCGCGGTGACGTCGCAGTTGACACCGGTCCCGAGCATCACAAGCATCACAACCCCTGTCCCCCCCCCCCCTTACGCACTCACACCCCTGAACCGCGCCCGCGCCGCGCATGCGCCGTGCCGCGGATTATTTATAGGCGGTGGGAGCGAGAGGGGTGACGTAATTCGGCGCTCGCTGCGTCGTGCGCGCGGTGTGTCACGTGCCTGGCGGCGTTCCCGGCGGCCTCGCGCCGTTGCCCAGGCAACCGGGGTCCCGGCTTCCCCTGGAGCGCGCCCTGCCCGCCGGGACCCGCTCCTCCGCCCGGGTTGAGGTGAGGGGGCTACGAGCGGGGCCTTCCGCGCCTTACCCGCGGGACAGGGGGGAGAGAGGTCACCGACACGCGTGCTGTATCCCCCGCGGTTAATTGGTGCGCGACCAATTGGTTTGCTTCTCGTCCCGGGAGAAGCCCGTGTGTAAAGCCCGGCTGTGCGGCCCTCAGCTCTGTGTGCTGGGGCAGCGGGAAGCACGGCGTGGTCACACTGCCCTCAGGAGCTGCCTTGGATCCTTTGCCATTTTACTGACGGCCAGCTCTTCCTTCCTTAAAAAGCAAAATTACACGTGTAGGTTTCTCCAAAAGTAGTGCCTCCTGTTTATTTCCGTGCAAACAACAAAAGACAGAAATGGCAGAGTAGCTGTATTTGGTAGAGCAGATTCTCAGCTACGAGAAGTGCTTTTTCAACGTAGCACCCACCTGTGTTGAAGTTAGCTGTGTATTTTCACCAGCAATGAACGAGAGCCTCTGTGCTGTGCTCACATTGCTGCGCACGTGGCGGTGACCCGCTGTCGCCATGGCTGAAGCACACTGCCTTGCTGTGCTCGCACTCGCTGGTTGGCCTCCAAAAACGTTCAGCAGATACCGATGAATGTCAGTGGGTGCCAGTTTTTTATGCGTGGAGGAGTTCAGTGATGTGCCGTTGCTCCATAGGCACTCCCGGGTCAGATGTCATTTTGTCAGACTGCCCCTCTGCTGCCATCTGTCGCATGGCCACAGTGTGGAATGGGATACTGGTGGGAAGGTTTGACTTCTACTGCCAGAATGCCAATATCTGCCTCCGACATCATGGGCCAACATCATAAAGTAGGAGGCATTACATTTGCAGCAGCCTTTACATAGTAATGATTGTGTATTTGAAAGAGTACTGGGCTACGTGCAGGCTTTTAGTAGTTGCCTTGGTTAGACAATGCTTAATCGCTACTGTATTTCTGTGTGTCGAAACCAGCTTTTACAGTGATGCTGGGATCTTTGATTGAGTCAGGAGATGACTTTTTAGGGAAATTGTCCATTGAAGTCTGTGTCTGTCTCAGAGCTGTTGTTTTCTGTATATGTACCAGGCAAGAAATAGCTTTTTAGCTTGTAAAGGCTTGTGTCAGATGGTTTGAGCTCAAGGTGAATGTGACAGGCCACGTGAAACAGAGTCTGAACTGCACCATCAGTAAGTAGCTTCTGGGCCATTGCTGGCTGAGGAATAGTGAGCAAGTGAAAAGACCTGAGAAGATGCTCAGTTGTATAAGTACCAATAGCCATGTCTGTGAAAGAACCTGCACGTGGGAAGAGGCGGTAGATTAGTTGCTGATGATCCTCTTCAGTCAGTCCTTGTTTTAACAACATGCATTCACAGGTGTTGCATATCTGATTTGAAGAGCTTTGCTGTGCAGGAAATGGTGGTGCAGTACAGTGCAAACTTAAGCCAAATACTGCTGTCACAAAGGATGTGAAGACATGCTTGGTGAAGGGTGGCTGCTGATCTGTTGTTGGATCAGCTCATGCAGTGGAAGAGAGGAAAGCAGCAGGCAAGTCTTCAGGTTGGCAAGCTTTTTGCCTTCAATAGTTTTTTAAAAAAATTTGAAAACCTGTACCAATAATTTATGCTGTTTCTAAAATTAGGGTTAGAAAACTGTTCTCTGTCAAAAACCTAGATTGCTACATCAGTTTCTGTGACAGAAACTTAATAGCTGCCAGTTTTCCATTCAGCTGTTTCTGGTGACGTGCTGCTATGAACACACTTCTCCAACAGAAAACTGTTTAGACCAGTATATGTGCAGTTGCACAGTTAGTTGCTCTGTGTGCAAGAAAATGGCCTCAGGATATACTGTCAGTTCTGCAGTTAGCTCTGCACTGCTCTCAGTGGGCGCTTGCAATGCCTGCCTCGCCGTTACAAGGACGACTGGATGCCAACAAGGAGAGTCTTTGGAATGAGCTACCAGAACGTCACTGCAAAGCTTACTGTAATTCTGAAAAAATCTGTAGTGACTGTACATCCCTGGCTGTGATGCAGTATGCTATTACTGGAACCTCTCCGGAAAATGGTTAAATAATCACCTTATCCTGGAAGAAGTCCCGTGCTGTGAAACAAAGTTTTCCCGATCTTTCCCATTTGCCCTCTGTGGCTTTCAGGCAGTGCTGCAGCCTTACCATCAGGAGCCACCTTCCTGGAAGCCCTTGAGCACCAAGCAGAAGCATGCTGTGCATGTCTTGCATAATAAATGTCCTCTGCAGCAGAACCACCATGATTTATGGATCCTACTCATTTGCATTCCAAAATGTGACGTACTTGCTCAGGATTCTGAATGTCCTGATGGAGGTCAGTGGGATGAGCCCAGGAGGCCTCCAGGCATTCAGTGCTGCCTGTCACAAGCTGAAGGACAGAGATGCCAGGTCAGCAGCTGGAGGACATTTTCATAAAGCAGTCCAAGTAGACCATTTGGGTGCCTCTAAAACACAAGCCCTGTGTTTGTGGACGCCAGAGAGCAAAGGAGCTTAAATTTAGTATTTAATTTTGTTATTAGTCTTCCTGCTAGCCTTTTCTTTCCCACAGGCAGTAATTAGCAGCTGTTCTTTAAGTTCTGTGGTGATTAAAGCTTCTCCTCACTTTTCAGTGCTAATTGCTCTTTTCTCTAAGAGTATCTACTGTTTTCACGTAATCAGAGTATTTAAATTCTTAAGAGAATCGTGAGGGTCCACATACCTCTAACAACGTGTTCTGTTGATTCAATTAAACAAAACATTTTTGACTGCATTCTACATCCTTGCCTTCTATGTTTCCATGTCTTCTGAATCTGGAGTCTATTTTCAAGGCAGACTGTGAGGAGTTTCTGGTGGAACTGAAGAAAGACTCAACAGGACTCTGTTTTCAAGGAAGAGAAACCAAGAGGATCTCTTTTGAGTTTCCTTTAATTACAGGCCTGAGGGTAGAGGGAAAGGAGCAATAATTTTTGTTTCTCAATATGATGTTTGCAATTTAGTTCTGCCTGGAGGAGTTGCTGATTTGTTGCTACACTGTAATGCAACTTCCCTGCAGCTATAGGGTTTTGGCTGTGTTACACTGCTGATTGGAGATTGTCTTCCCTTTATCTGTGGGAGCTCTCCAGAAGGCACACGAGAGTTGTATCTGTGACCTAAACATTCTTCTGTGCATTTCTCTCTTCACTCATAAGGATTTCCTTTTGGTGTGATCTGGAGCTGAGTGTCAAGTTGGTTCTTGTAGTTTGGCTTTTTCATTTTAGAGAAAACACGATACATTTGAAACGTATTTGAAATACCGTTTTCTCATTAGATCGTTGGTTATGCAAGGTGGAGGATGGCAGTTACCCTTAAAGCTATTTATTAAACTGTGGTTGTGAATCTAATGAGGGAAGATGAGATTCAAGAAAGGACATGATGAAAGTTTTGGTAGAAGTGGGTATAGTCAGGGTGATGAAGGTGTGAGAAAGTTAATGTCAAAAAAAGGTTCACAAACCCTTTGGAGCGTACATCTCCGCTGTTATGTGTGAGCAGCCCTTGGTCAGGCAGAGGTGCTAAATCAGTGCTCTGTAGTTTCCTTCTTTATGGCAATCTTCTTCTAGCAGCATCAAATTCAGGAGTTTTGTGACTTCTTGAGAGGCGTAGAAATTATTTATTTTGTCCCTTCTGTGATAAGTTCTTGCCTCCTAGCAAGTGTAAACAGAGCCATCAGTGATCCTGAGCATTTTTCTGTACGGGTGGGAAGAGCAGTTAACTTGGGAGCGAGGGTCTCAGGAATCAGTCCGCCCCAGTTTGATTTAGGTAAGTCATTTAATACCTTCTGACAAATAGAAATGATGTTTTGTACCTCATAGCAGTGTGGTGAGCATGTCATTTAGAATGTTTATAATGTAAACAGTGAAGATAAATAGAAATTGCACTTAAAAGGCCTTTTACTGCTTTCGACAGAACAGGTACTGCAGCGTCTGTATCAAGTAAAACAATACAGCTATTCATAGAAGCTGCTGTAATCTCTCAAGTAAACTTATAGAGCTTGTAAGATTGTTCCATATTGAAGTCTGAATAGCTGTTGGAAAGAAGTCCCTTTTTGACCTCTGCCTTCAAAGCTTGGTCACATTTCAGAGTGATCAGCTACCTGTGAATTAATCGTGAACTGGAACTCGTAAGGATATCAGAACTTCTCACTTAACAATCTAAATTCTGTCTTTCCATTTGATCATCCAGTCCATTCATAGGGTGAGTGCAGAGTTGTTATTTTTCAAGACAGAATGAATTATAGAATTCACAAATGTACTCTTGTTGCAGCTGCTCTCTACCAACAGCACAAATTGAAAGTTTATATTAAACATGACTCTTGATGTTCAGAAATAGGGATCAAGCACCACTGCTGCATTCTGCATTCTAGTCCTCCCTGCCCTTACCTCCAATTTTCACCTCCCATAGTGTTTCCAACAGCACAGAGTGAAAATATTTCACATAGGTCTTGGTGCACTCAGTCCCTTTGAGAACTTCAGTACTTCCCTGTTTGTTTCTTCCCAACAACTCACACTGTCCATTTCCACTCATTCTTATTTTGTTTGTTCTGGCATGATGTTTAGCATTATCTAACATTTTAGTGGTCTGGAACTCTCATTTTCAAATGTTACTCAAAGATGTGGACAATTTCATTACTTTCATACAGAAACAAATGTAGCGTATTGTGAATTGCAGTGGGAAATTTATTTTGCGAAGCAGGAATGGTTGTGTAAAGAAGTTTAAAAATAAAAATAAAAAAACCAACCCTTTGTTTTCCCCCAGAGGCTCCTGTTTCTGTTACTCCAGACTCAGACGTTCTTGGAACTTGTCTCAATCCTTGGCTTCGGGATTCCTCACCAAATGTGAGGAGTCTGAAATAGACTCTGCAGATCATGCCTGCCATTTTGGAACTTCCATAATCAGCAGGGCACACTGTGTATGGTGAAACATCTGTCTTCAGTGAGCATGCTTACATATCCTTCAACTTACCCACTCACTTGCATGCGCAGCAGCAG